GAAGTAGCCATGGTGCTAACGAGTCGGCTACGAGCTAAGCTAAGCTAGCGAAACACCAAAGACACAGTGAGCTGGTAGGCCTACACCCGCTCTGACTGCTATGCTTATAAAAACACTGACAGTGTGAGAGGTCACAGTTATCCTGATAGCAAGAACAATTCTGCAACAGTATGATCCATGACCAGTGAGACCAATGCTCACTGGTCAGTGGTGAAACTGACCTCCCAGCCCATTGTTCCTTCAGTGCTGCTAGTTTCAGTCATCATGCAAATGTCCCGTTTATAAGGTTGGAAACCTGCAGTCAGCTGAGACTGAAGATGATGATGAAACGTTTCTCAAACATCCGAACAGAATCAGAGACGAGTTTTATAAATCACTAACTTTGGTCCACCAGTGTAAACGAGGGGGGAAAATAGACTTTTAAAAAAAATTTCAGCACCCCTACTGTAGTGTCTGTAACACTATTAAACTGCAGTTTTGTGTATTATATTTTTCTAGCTTTATTTTTATAGAAATGCAGAGTTTTGTTGGCCGATTCTGTTTTCCAACGTTTTTGTTAGTGTGACCAACCAGTTTGTGTTTATACTGGTTTTCTTTCTAATAACTAGAAGGAAATATGCTTATCTTTAGTGTAAGGTATTATTTTCATAGTTAAAGTAATGATTAGAATTACAACTTTGCCAAACTGCAGCAGGTTATAGATTTTTCTGCTTTCATCCGTCTTATTTTACCTCACCCAACAAAAGCAGTTGCAGCAGATTTATGTAGCAACATTTGTATCACATACCTACAAGATGCCTTAAAAGATACCTGTTTCTCTTTTTCATTTGTGTCTTTCATTTTCCTCATAACTGGATCCTTTATCTCAGGGGCGGGGCACTCCACTGTCCTGCAGGTTTTAGATGTCCCCCTGGGACGGCACACCTGAGGCTTGGAGTTCCCCACACCTGCTTTATCTTATTGATTATTTGTGCTAGCCTGTGGCTGGCTTCAAGCTCCAGCTTTAGTTTTAGCCACTTTGCATTTTTTAGCAATTAAAATAACCATGTTCAGCTGCATGAGTATAATATCTGATTAGGTTTGTTCTTATGAACATTATCACAGTGGTTCTGTGTGTGTGTGTGATGATGTGCATTTTACTTTGGTCTGTGCGTCTTCACTCACAGTGAAGAGCTTCCACACTAAAGACATATCAGTGCGTGCACGGCTATTTGCATGGGCTGCTGTGGGGGTGCTGTGCATGCATGAAATGGATGAGCTAATAATTGGACAAGCATGATACAAGCGAGCCGGTCACCAGCCGAGAACATCGTCCGGTTCTCGTCCCCGGCAGTCAGTCGGTGCATTTTCAAATTAAATATATGTTAAGTAAATTCCGTCTTTCCTGTGACTCTGTGTGACGTTTTCATGTTTGTCTGTTCTCCCCTATGCAGCACACCAATGATGGAAACAGAAAATTTCACTATCTTCATCAAAAACAGCATCCGCTTCCCGACCTTCAACTACACCAAGTATCACACACCCTTATATGTTGACATTAAGGCTCGTCTGGAACATCTGTTTGTTTGTTTAACAAGGACAAATTATTCTGTTTTCACATTATTGCTCACTTTAATGAAGAAATGTTATATTCAGACTACTGAGTTGTGAAGAGAACGCTTTATCCCCGATAACTGTCACTCTGAATGCACTGGCACTAACACTGGAGTTGACATTTGCAAAGCATTAAATGCAAAACACTGTCAGCTCTGCATTCAAGCCAAGGATGCAAAATGAATATGAATCAGTGTTGATATAACTGCACAGTACCGCCAATTTAAGGGGAAAATTAAGGACTGTGAATAGATGGAGAGATCAGTTTCACTGAGCAGGAAAGGGTTCTGCTGTTTTTGCAGGGATGAAACCCCAACAGGTGACATTAATTAGCTAGCATTAGCATCTGTGTAATTCACTGTTTCACTCATGCTTCAATTTAAAGTGTAATGTTAGCCAAGCACCAGACTGAGCAACGGCAGCCTGCTCTGACAGGATGAGACACACTGGCTAATTCAGTTGAAAGCTGTTATGTCGTTATCACAGGAGAAGTGTGTGCTACAGGAGGAGTCTCCATCTTTGTGCATACTTGTCACGTCTCAGATCATCAGACACATTTTATATTAGCCAAAGATAACTTGTGTGAATACAAAATGAGGTTTTTAATGATTGTTTCTTTTATAAATGTAACAAAACCGTTCAAAACTGGCCTGTGTGGAGAAAATCGCCCACTAAACCTAATGACTGGTTTTGCTACGTTGGCAGCAAGACTTGGAATGAAGAGTTTGTGATAACTGGTCACACTAAAGCATCTCAATCTGGCAGAAGTCAGGAATTTGACTTGGTGTTCAGAGAATGACTTCCTGGTGTGTTTTGGATGTCCTGCTTGCACCGAGTGCACAGCTTGTTGGCTGAATAGTCTGCTTCAGGATTTTTTGGTAGTGACCAGACCATCACACCACCATCACCACTATGTTTGATGTGTATTTTACAACATGCACATCATACCAAACCTTTAATGGGATGCAAACCTTCCAAAAAGAAATACAATCTTCGAACCACCACTTGAAAATTGCTTTGTAACCCTTTCCACACTGACAGATATCAATGACTTTGATTCTGAGCTGTTTCTTTAGGTACTGGCATGCTGCTGTTTGAAAACTCTTAGGCTACTTCACTTTGTCAGACAGGTAATCAGGTAATTTCTTGAATCAACAGTTCTGGCTCTAATCAGATTTGAGTCGATCAAAGTGAACTCTGCTTTCCAAAAGAAGCGGTTAACCACAGTAGTACATAATCGAACAACATTTATCCTCCGATTAATAAAATCATGACTTAAAAAACACATTTTGTATTCAGTCAAGTTATGTTTGTCTAATATTACATTTTTTGATGATCCGAAACATGCAAGTGTGACAAATATGCAGCAACTTGAAAATAAGAAAGGGGCCAAATACTTTTTCATGTCACTGTATCTGTTCAGAGTTAAGCCACAATTATACTTTTGTAAAAGTCAATCTGAAAATGGCACAATTATAGTTCAGAGACGCTTTGGCATGTGGCCATTATGCACAGCTGTAGCATGTACTTTTTGGTGATCATTTGGTGACATTACTGAAGTCATTTGCAAACCACAACATGCAGTAATCTTTTAGAGATTTTCATTTAAGACAAAGGACTTTGTACCAGGCCAACTGAGAGGAAATGTACTTGTCCAAAGGGCAGGTGCCACAAAAGTTAGTGTTGAGCCCAGTAATGATTAAATCTTACTGTTAGAATGATTGTTATATTTAAGGCTGACATATTGATGTGTTTGTTGGCAGAGGGAACTTCCTTCCTAACATCACGAAAAAATATATCAGTGAGTGTAACTTTGACATGGTCAACAACACCTACTGCCCGATCTTCAGAGTGGGAGATGTCGTCCGCTACGCCCAGCAGAACTTCACTAATCTGGCAGAACATGTACAGACCAAGCCTGTGTGTGTGTGTGTGTGTGTGTGTGGGGGGGGGGGGTCCACTGGTTTGGGTGGGATTTTGACAGGATGGAAACTGACTTACGAGTGCTGGTTAGCTATTGCTTTACTTCAGTTTTATGCAGCCCTAACTATAAGCTTTATAAAGAAAAAACTTAATAAAGCCTAATTTTAGAAGCAGATGAGGGACTCTCTCCTGAACACAAACTGAAAGCTTGTTCCACAGGAGAAGAGCCTCATAGCTAACAGGTCTGCCTCCCATTTAACTTTTAGAAACTCTAGGAACCACAAGTCAGCCTCCAACCTGTTTGATAGTGAATAATCTTTAAGAGGCTTCATAGTTTCTACTGGCAGTGCAAATGCAAACAGAAAGCAGACCTTAAAAGTAGTTCTTGGAGGAGCTGCTACCAGGTCGTTGCCCACAGGTGCTGCAGGGAGTCAGCTGAACTAACCCAGTGACTGAAAAGGAAGTCGTTTACATGTGTAAAAGTAGCAAGACTGGACCTGAAGTGATTGTGTCACTTACACAATAAAGCCTGTATGTACTTCTGTCAGGGAGGAGTGATCGGAATAAAGATCGGCTGGATGTGCGATCTGGACAAGTCGGATGACCACTGTAACCCCTCGTACTCATTCACCCGACTGGATGCTATGTCACAGAACAACACTGTCTCACCTGGCTACAATTTCAGGTATTAATGCCAAGAAATATGCAGACTCTGACTGACCATGAAACTCCACATTTACAGAGGAAATATGAGACTACTATAAATATCAGAAAAATCAAAATCTCTGATTTTCTCAGCTGCAATTATAATCAATCAATCAATCAATCAATCAATCAATCAATCAATCAATCAATCTTTATTTATAAAGCACTTTTCATACAAAAAATGTAGCACAAAGTGCTTTACATAGTTAAAAGCAGCCCACCCCACCCTCCAACTCACTCCCCACACTCTCATTAACATAAATGATGTGAATACACACATATCTCCCCCCCCACACACACACCCACCCACACACACACACAGACGCACACTTAAAGAGTGAAATTGGGCTGGGCACATATGAGCCAGGTGAGGAAACACCATCACAGGGAGCCGTCTGCACCGGGAGCCGGTCACAGACCTCCAGGCTGGGCACACAGCAGGAGGGAGGCACAGGAGCCCCCCAGCCAGGCTGAGAGGACCCCCAGAGCCCCAGCAGCCACGGTCGGTCACAGCCCCGGTGCAGAGAGCCCCCTCCGAGGAAACACTGGAGATATGCCAGGATAGGCTATATACAGGGTAAAATGATAAAATAAATAAGAACGGGATACTTTAAGAGTGCCTCAGTTTTCTGTTGCATGTCTTGATTCTGGAATAATTAACGGAAGCTGTGAGAACTTTGAGGACTGTTCTAATATCTGTCCTTCAGCCTGCACTGATGTCTTGGACTCCACTCAGACTGTCTGCGCTAAGCCATTGTCAGAGCCATGGTTCAATGAACATAGGTGCACCCTTAGACATGATTGTAGATGCGCTGAAGGTAGATGGAAGAAGGATAGGATGTATGTTTCTTTAAAGATACTTAGGGACTGTCTCTCTGTTTACCAAATAGCCACAAGCCTAATCATATCATCAGTCCAAGTAATAATGTTGGAGCTTAGTATGTGTGAGGCAGTAGGTGACGAGACACAAGACCTAATAGCTGAAACTTGGTCAGTAAAAAATGCCAAAAAAATCATCAGTGTTCCTCCTGTGTGCTCAGCTGTCTTGGAGCAGTTTGAGCCTGTTTCCCTGAGTTAAGGATCCGTGGTAGTTCATCGCCTAAGATAATCACACTGCCCATCAGATCGTCTTCCCCCAAACCTCCTTAAACATAATTGGGCTTTATATCCAGAAATTAATTGACACTTTGTGTCCCATCATTTTTTAAACAGCCTCTTCTTAAAAATCACACCGTGGACCCAACTGTTCTGGTTAATTACAGGCCAATCTTGAAGCTCCCCTTTCTTTCAAAAGTTCTAGAGAAAGTGATCTGCTTACAGTTGGAGGCTCACCTTGATCTTAATGAGATCTCTGAAAAGTTTCCGTTTGGTTTTAAATCACTACACAGCACTGAGACAGCACTTTTGAATGTTTTAATGACATTTTCTTAACTCTGGGTTGTAGCAGCCCTGCTGCCCTCTTGATGTTGAGCCTTTTATCCTTTCACTGTAAGACAAATGTTAAAAACCTCGGTGTGCTGTGATGCTTCCTTCAAACTGTGTAGGCAGGTGAGCGCAGTAGTCCGATCTAGCTTTTTCCATCTGAGATAGGTAGCCAAGGTAAAGCCAGACCTTCCAGCTAATGTCTTTCAGTGTGTTATTCATCTCTTCATTATGTGAAGATTACTGCCATTCTCTGCACAGGCCTCTCTTTATCATCTCCAGTTGGTCCGAAATGCCGCCGCTCGTCTGCTAACTGGCATTAAAAGGAAGGAGCCTGTAACCCCAGTGTGTCACGGTCCTGGGTCTCCTGACCCAGCGTTTTTAGTTCTTTGTGATTTTTGTATTATTGTACTTGTGTGTGATCTATTCTATGGCTTCTAGTTTTGATCCCTTGCCCTTCATGTCTCTCTGTGTCCCCTCTGTTCTGTGTAATTGTGTGTCTTTGCATGTTTGAGTTTCTTGTTTTCTGTCCCTCTGCACTGTGCATTATGTTCGCATTGTTGGTTTTTTGTTACTCTCTCTAGTCTAGTCTCTTGTGTTCCCAGCTGAGTATTTCCCTGTGTATTTTGGTTCTTAGACCTCTGCCTTATGGTTTATGTCTCTGTATTTCTTAGTTGCTGTCTCCACTGTGTCAAGTTCGCGTCTCTGTGTGATACTTCCTGTTTTACTTTGATGGTCCGTGTCTCATGTGAATGTGTCCTGCTTCCTTGTCTCGTCAGTCCTGATTTCTCCCAGCTGTGCCCTCCTTCTGTGTCTCATTCCCCTCGTTACTTCCCAGTGTATTTAAACCCTGTGTTTCTCTGAGTCAGTGTCGCGTCGTCCCTCATGCTGTGTGGATCTCCCTGTGTGTCTCTCTGTGAGTTTTCTAAGGTCCCAGTTTAGATTAGTTTGCTGGCAGGGAAAAAACATACAAATAAAGCTGAGTTTTGAGTTCACCTCCCTGAGTCTGTGAGTCCTGCATTTTGGGTCCAACTCCTGCCTGCCGCACAGCGATTCATGACACAGTGTTGGCCTCTCTACACTGGCTTCCTGTTCCTCATAGGATCCAAATTTAACTTTTTGTTTTTAAATCACTGAACAGTCGAGCCTGCTCTTACCTGTCTGAGCTCCAGAAAGAACCACGAGGTCCAGGTCAAAACGAATGCTATCCATTTCACAGTCTTAAATCTGGTGGCAACAGAGCCTTCTCCGTGGCAGGTCCCAGACTCTGGAAGAGTCTGCCTCTACATATTAGATCTACACATGTTTGGGTTAGCACACACTCATTGTTGTTGTAGTTGGTTTTTGTGTCTAATAGTTTTATTCCTTCTCTTTTATTGCATCATTTTTGTGCATTTTAATTTGTAAAGCATAATGTGCAGCATGAGCAGCACTGTGGTAGGCAGTGAGCAGAGGGCCCAGTAGAGGACGTCGGGCCCTCAGGCCACGATCATGAAATCCATTTCTAATTGTTTGGTCTGAGACATTGACACTGGTGGCCTGCTGGAGGGCATCCTGTAGAGCTTTGGACATGCTCATTTTCTTTGTCCTTGCACAAATGAGGAGATATCAGTCCCCCCGATCGGTTAAAGGCTTCTACAGCCCCGTCCAACTCTCCTAGAGTAACTCCCTGTCTCCTGGACTCTCCTCCATGCTCTTGAGACTGTGCTGGGAGACACAGCAAACCTTCTGGCAATGACACATATTGATGTGCCATCCTAGAGGAGTTGTACTACCCGTGCAACCTCTGTAGGGTCCAAGTATCTCCTCATGCTACCAGTAGCAATGCTCACCCTATCCAAATGCAGAAATACTGATAAAACAGTCAGAAAAGATGAGGAGGGACAAATGTCAGTGGCCTCCACCTGTAAAACTATGCCTGCGGATTATTTCATTAACACCAAAGCTGCTGAAACTGATAAACTCCTGTGGTACTCAACTGACCAGGTAATTACCTCAGAAGTTTAACTGACTGTACTCTGATAAAAAGTGTTCTTTTAATTGTATTTTGGAGCAGTATATTTAAGTTACAATAAGGTACGATCGTGGCTCAAGTGTTGGCAGTTCGTCTTGTAATCGGAAGGTTGCCGGTTCGAGCCCTGGCTCGGACAGACTCGGTCGTTGTGTCCTTGGGCAAGACGCTTCACCTCCCGCCTGCTGGTGATGGTCAGAGGGGCCGATGGTGCGATATGGCAGCCTCATCTCTGTCAGTCTGCCCCAGGGCAGCTGTGGCTACAACTGTAGCTGCTTCCACCAGTGTGTGAGAGTGAAGTGAAATTTATTTTGGTCAACAACACAGATTATCATTTTACATAAAAGTACTCAATCATACAGCCTGTGGCTTATAATTATCCTATCCTTTACCCCATAGGAATAATCAATCCTTAGCCAAGAAAATAAATAGCATTGACAAATAAGTTATATAACAGTTTGAAAAGAAATCAATGATAAATCAAGAAATTAAATCAACACAAAGTTATTCATCAAACCAAATTTCCGTAACCTTGAATGATTCAAATTTTTAAATTCTTCCTGAAAAATGACAAAGAAAAACACATCTTCAGTTCATCATGAAGTCCATTCCATAATTTCACTCCCAAAAATGACACATCTATACCTAACATTGGTTTCCACTTTAGGTATTTCAAACTTATAAGACCCCCTCAAATCATGTTTTCCATCTCTTAGTTTAAACATACTTAAAATGCAAAGTGGAACATTCTTTTTCATCACTCGATATATCATTTTTAAAGTTTTACAATACATAATGTCCATGAATTTTAACATAGATGATCCTACAAAAACTGGTTGGTGGACTCCCTATACCCAACTTTATTTATTATTCAGATTGAATGAATAGTGGAATTGTAAAGCGGTTGAAAAGCACTATATAAATGCAATCCATTATTATATGTGGCCAAATAGCATTAAGTAAAAACTAGCTTTAATTGTGGCATATAAAAACAGCGTTTGATCTTTGTCTAATCATATCTACATGTCTACAAGAAATGTGGTTTTTTTGTCTTGTTTTATTGATCATTCATGAACCTTCTAGTAAATTGAACAGAATAGATGTCACTATAAGAATGATGTGATGTTTCTTTCTATTTAGATTTGCAAAGTATTTTAAGATGGAAAATGGGACTGACTACCGCACTCTGGTCAAAGCCTATGCTATCAGGTTTGACGTCTTGGTCAATGGAAATGTGAGTGTGTAGTTTCACTGTCAGTTCACTGAATAAAGAAGTTTACATCCACTTACCTTTATTTCACAAACACATTAATGATACAGGAATATAAATATGTGTGTAATTTTTTAAAATATATTTTTAAATGATACATCTATAGTCTTGATTGTCATGTTTCTGTTGTTGTTTGTGAATAAAAGAAGAAAACACAAAACACCAGGACTTTTTTGTACCGATCTTCTCCAGGAAACTGAACCTGACTCATACTCTTGTTTTGCAGGCAGGAAAGTTCAACATGATCCCTACACTCATTAACATGGTTGCAGCCTTTACATCAGTGGGAGTGGTGAGTTAACGTTTAGATTTAATCAAATCGTTATAAATGTTTAATTCAGGAGTTTTGTTAAGATTAGTCAATTCTAAAAAGCAAAAGTTTTCCTCTTATCTTTTTCTACCCTTTAAAAAGGAAAATGGAAAGCCTGACATAAAAATTTTGGTCTAAGAACTGAAGGTGGCTTTGAAGCAGCTTACACCTCAAATGTAATCCAAAAATCAGGAAGGGGTCTTTATTATTAAGTGGAAAAAATCCAGAGCTACTTGGCCCTGTGTGAAAAGTTCATTGTCCCCTAAGCCTAACAACTGGTTGGGAATTTGAACAGATGTGCGGACATTCTCCATCATGTTTTGGTAAACAGCAGAAGTCGTGCTTCCATTTACCACAGCAAGTCTTCCAGGTGCTGATGCAGCAAAACAGCCCCAGACCATCACGCTGACACCAACATATGTTACTGTGGTATGATGTTTTCTGAAATGCTGTTACTGTTACTCCAGATGTAATGGGACACACACCTTCAACATTTGTCTCGTCAGTCCACAGAGTGTTTTTCCAAAAGCCTGGGGGACCATCAAGATGTTTTCTGGTAAACAAGCCTTTATGGTTCTCTTGCTCAGCAGTGGGTTTCGTCTTTGAACTCTGCCATCTGGGCAACAATGGCCTGCATGGCGGAGTCATGAACACTGACCTTAACTGAGGCAAGTCAGGCCTGCAGTTCTTTGGATGTTGTTCTGGGCTCTTTTGTGACCTGCTGGATCAGTCGTTGCAGCACCTTTGGGGTATCTTTGGTCAGCAATCAATTTTTCACTCAGAGCCATGTAGGTTTGGGTTTTATTTCCCCATAATAATAAATACCTTCATTTTGTGTACTTGTGTTGTCTTGGTACCTGGACTGGTTCTTACAGAGCACTTTTCCACTATAACTGCTTTTTCTATTTAACATTCACACACATTCATTTTCCGATGGATGCATCAGAGAGGAGCTTGGGGTTAGTATCTTTCCCAAGGACGTTTGGCATGCAGACTGGACCAGCCAGGGGAACAAACCACCAGCCTTAAAAGTAGTAGGTGACCTGCTCTACCACCTGAGTTACAGCCCCCCCTTAAATTGGTGTGGTGATCCGAAACATTTAAGTGTGACAAACATACAAAAAAATAGGAAATCATGAAGGGGGCAAACATGTATTCACACCACTGTGTGTGTGGTGTCCCTATCCCATGAAAATAAGAGCCTTTTATTACATATACAAACCTATCAGAAGTTCCTGGACCACAATCTTTCCAATTTTCTTTATTACTGTAATTCCCTTCAATGACCATTATTGTTTCTTCTTACTTTCTAATTTAGATTTAAAGAATGTTTTGAAAATGCTCATGAAAGTGAGTTCATGAGCATTTTCTGCATCTGAAATTAGAGAAGATCCATTAGTGTCATCGTTGTCAGTCAAAAATATATCAAACATCTGCAACTGCTTCTTTTCAGGACGAAACAACCAACATGTGCAACACCGCTTCATTTTTCCAAATTAAGGGACATTCATATCATTAGTTTTTTGCTGTTGTTTTCTAAACTTACAATAGATTTTCTATGTTTAGACCTGAACTCTTTCATGGCATGCATTTTTAAACTCTCTTTGCTATTTACGCTGTTTGGGACCTGATTAATGTAAAAACAAAGAATTACCAGATTTTTTTTTACCTGATTTTTCTTTCTGAGAGAAATGAGATCCACATATGAGGATATTTGCTTTAAATTTTGATAGAACAGAGGCAGTATAATGTCCTCGTAATTGGAAATCAGGCCCTTGTAGAGCAACATTTTGTATTTTGGTCTAGACATCCCAAAATGTGATGTCCACATATGTGGACGCCAGGTCCTAGGAAGTTAATATATTTATTTAGGCCACTTATATTTGGAAGCCAGGATTATTAAATAAATACATAATGGGTTACATTTGAGGTGTGATTAAAAAAAGTCCCAAATTGATGAATATTGACAAAAAGGTAAAGCATCCATGATGCTTCGCACAAAATTTTGGTTAGGTTGGAAAAGAGGTTGATTTTATTTCTCAGTAGAAGTTCAAGGTTAGTGGGGAAATCAGTGCTCAGTGTTCAGAAACAGACAGCTAGAGAACAATCTGAAAATAGCAGCTGTGCTTGAAGATGTCTGCACATGTCCTAGAAAATGATCTTAAACTGGTGATCATCAAAAATTCAATCAGGTTAGACTTTTGATTTTTATTGGCCTTAAATACCAGAAAAAATGAACTGAAACTAAATGGAAAGGAAGCTGTGGACCAAGGGGTGGTGACAAGTGACATTTTGGAGGTTGAAGGGGCTTGCTTGTAATTATTATTATTATTATAATTATAATTATAATTATTATCACTATTATTATTACGTAGGGCACAGTGCTGTGTGACATCATACTGCTCAACTTCCTGAAAGGTGCGGAGCAGTACAAGGCCAAGAAATTTGAAGAGGTAAAATACCCAGCTCTTAATCACGTTTTAATGTGCACGTTATCTGATTTTTATTGGTGACCATGTTGCTGACATGTAAGGTTAAAACATTATTACATTAAAACACAAAAAGGCTCAAAGTTCAGCAGAACGCAATTTGGAAAAAGTGCGTTTTAAAAAATGGTTTTAAAAAGGACACCCTGCTTGAACCCCTTTCACTTTTGGCAAGTCATTCAAATTCTTGGGGTCTTAGATCATATTTAACTCTTGACTCTCTTTTCTGAACTAATCAGATTTCAGGCCTGCTTAAAGAACAACTGTTGCGGGTTCAGATATTGAGGGTGAGCACAAAAACAATAATGGTCCAGAAGAGCTTCGGTCAAACAATGATTTTAATGAACACACGCGTGGGGAGATGAACACTGCACACAGACAGCATCGATCTCCAAATGGTGGAGCATTACTCAAACTCTTATAGCCACTGTTGACCCCCACCTAGTCGTAAAAGCCTAAACATTCACATTTTCCTAACTCCTAGCGAGCCTGACTTATGGCCTTGGCTCCCTATTTCGTCTGCCTTCAACAACGGTGGGAGTGAAGCTCCCGTGGAATGTGCTCTGTCTCCTCTACTATCAGAAAAAGCAAAGTCCTGACTCTCTGAAAACAGGATTTCTTATAACTCAGCAGTATAATGCATCATAAACAATATCATTCATTCACAATAAATCAGCAGTCTAATGTAATACAAATCAGTTTAACACATGTAATAGTTTCACCTTCTTCTAATTCAGGAGAATAATGCAAACTAAAACTACATAATAGCTTCACAATCCTTAATCAGGGGCATAACATGGCGTAAGATAATATTATAATCTGACACAACCTTACTGTAAATGCAACAAAAATGAGTGAGTGTGCATCTGTGCAGCTATGCTTGGAAAAACCCAGAAACTATTCTGTTGGTTATTCAACCTTATCTTTACTGATATTTACTGAGGTGTGAAAACTTCAGAAGGAAACCATTTTGAAAAGTTCACTTCATTTGCCATCATTTGACTTTTCAGACAAATTTTCAGTTTAGTTTCTTATTGTGATAGCCCGGTCCTGTGTGCAGCTGTGTTCTCTTTCCCTGCTTATCTCATGTGTGTGTATTTAAGCCCATAGTTTTCCTTTTTATATTTTGAGTCATACTATGTGCCTAAGCGTTTTGCTGTGCGGTCCCTGTTTGGGACTACCTTTAAAACCTGGTTTCTTCAGCCAGCTGGACTTGCTGCCTCACCTAAATAAAAGTGTATTTTTGTCTATTATTTACCACGACACTAGTGATGTGTCGGTCCCAAACGAACAAACCTTTAGAGCCAGCTCTTTGAAGTGAACGATGCGAGCCGGCTCCTAATTGGGAGCCGTGATTTTTTCTTTCTTTTTCTCACCCTCTCTCTCGCACTTTTTTCGGCTTCACTCTGCATGCGAGAGCACAGAGAGAGAGAGAGCAGGGACAACAACGTCACATTAGAAAGGTATAGTAATCATTCACAACTATTTTCAGTTGCAGATGATAAAGGATTCAGAAAGTTTATTCATGCATTGAATCCTATGTATGCAATTCCAAGCAGGAAACACCCTAGGCCTATATGACAGAGAATGTGCATCTTCTTTTTGTTTTGTTTCGTTACGCTTTAAATTTGTTTAAAAGGAAAAAGCTGAAAATTTAAATAGTTAAAAGTTGAAATGTAAATAGTTGTTTTTTTGTATTTTATAATTTATTTATTACATTTTATGTGGAGTGAATAAATAAAAGTATATTTACAGTGGCCCCTAGAGACAAATCATGTACAAATTCCAAAACACAGCAGAAATGCTCCAGGATCCTAGTGGCTACACAAGCCAGCAAGTACCAACGACCAGATCTGGTGTGTGGTAGTAACAGGTAAATGAACACTTTTTTTTAAATCATTTGAATATATATGAGTGTTTGTGTATAAATACACAAACAATACACACATGCTATCAGTTGTGTAATTTAAGTGATCTAGGTAGCTCTGTTTTGGAAGTTCAGTTAACGCTAGAAATGTGTTTTGGAGTTTGTACGTGTTTTGTCTCTAGGGGCCACCGTGAAACAAGTGAAACAACACAAAATACTGCAAACCACAACACAATTAAATATAAATTAAAATATGAAAACAAAAAGAAGATGCATATTCTGTCATATGGACCTGCATGAATAAACTTTCTGAATCCTTTATCATCTGCAACTGAAAATAGTTGTGGATGATTACTATACCTTTCTAATGTGATGATATTGTCTCTTGTTTTTGTCCCTGGCTCTCTTTCTCCCTCTGCTTTGTCTCTGGGGGCCACCCTATATATTTATACATAAACACATATAAATAAAATAACGTTTTTAAATTAGTAATTCCTTCTGTGCATGATTTTATATTGTTGATGATAATAACTTAATTAAAGCAACAAAACAACCTGAAGAGCCGATTGGGAGCCGACAGAACCGGATCTTTCTAGTGAGCCGAGCCAAAAGAGCCGGTTCTCTAAAAAAAGCCAGAATTCCCATCACTACATGACACCCTTTGGACCTTATATTGAGTTCCAATAAAAAAGCTACCAAATGGAAGTAGGAATCATCTCCTGACATCGAGGATGGACACATCAACCAGTACATGGATAGCTTTCCCTTCACACCTTGCCCTCTCTTCATCACAGCATACCAGTACAGCATGAAAACCATGTCCTTGGATTGAATCTTGTCCCAGCCACTTCACACTCAGCTGCAAACTCCCCCAGTGTGAGCTAGAGATCCTTCAACTTCAAATTAAAAAGGAACATAAAGCACCACGAGTTCAGTTATAAAATAACTGGTACGGATGTAATACTGGGGCAGGAAAGGGTCAGAGTTCAAACGCTCCATTAATTCCTTAATAAAGGCAACAAAGCCATTTCATTGGCAAAAGCAGACATAAAATCCTGAGGTCTAGAAATCTGTCCATGAAAGTTATGAAAAGAATTGGTTACAACAGCAACTATGGTGGGGTCAAGGACGCACCAAGAACAAGTCTGTACCCTGCACACACGTTTGGATGTTGGATGTTTGACTAATGGACAGATTCTCCTCTCCAGTTCCCTGGCATAGACCTTCTCAGGGAAGCTTAGGAATGTGATTCCCCTGAAGCTGGAATACCCTCAAAGGATGCTCAATGGATCCTCAAAGCCAAACTATGAGCCAAACTTAGTTGATGTTAACAGAACACCATCCCTCATCTCCCCCATCCCGAGTTGCCTGATAGTTTGCTAAAAGGGCTTGGAGTGGTACAATGGTACTTGAGGGGGTTACAGAGTTGGGTGATAATTCTAAGTTGCTGATGTAAGATAATTGCTAATAATTATTAATTTAAATAATTTAACTGTACTCTCCCAAAAGTGACAATTATTGTCTGGGTCATAATACAATTTGTTTTGTCTCACTCGAACTGAAGATCAGGGGTCTGGATCTATAATGATACAAACTCTTTTTCTCTCTTTCTGTAGGTGTCCGACAACCCATCCGAAGGCAATGGACTGTATCGTTCCCAACTATCCCTCAGACAAACCATGACAAAGTCCAATGACTCAGGGGCATTTTCTATTGAACCTTACAGCTAAATGGACAGCATACGTGTTTATTTCATGTTTTATTATCCAGCAGTACCAAGGTGAAACCATGTCTTTATGTTGTTAGAGATAATACGTAGAATGCTGAATTATTGCTGCTTTGCACTGATTCAAGTTGGATACAAACAAGGACAAAGACATAAAATGAAAACAAGAGCATGACTATCTTTGCATGACTATCATTTGGCATGCGACAGGAGCTCAGGATTCCTGATGTGGTCTGGCTTTTGAAAAGAAATGAGAACTGACTGAAGTTACCGTTTTAACAATAAAGTTAGAAACAAGATAACTGTGATGAACTGGTTCTTGTTTAGTATTTCTATTGTGATTTCCACTCTCATTCATTTACTAGTGATGTGCGGATCGATCCTGAAATATCGATTCCTCCGATACCAATCATTTATGTTCTAGAATCGATTCTCACATTAAAATATCGATATTTTAGTAATTTAGGGTAAATTTGTAGTTTATCATTAACAGGAACACAGTGGAAAGAAACTATAACATTCGGATTGTCTACATTCAAAGGAACTACTTCCTCTTCCGCCTTTCATAGTCATGTGCGAAATACGGCTGTATAAATGTCTCGCAGCCCCTTGGCGTGCGCACTCACAACAATGGCTGAGCGTAATTGTGCGGACGTATTTTACCTCCACAAACAGCTGAGACGTGGTTTGCATACATGTGGCAAAAAAAGTGAGGTGTTGTGGCCATACTTACCAACCTTGAGACCTCAGAATCAGGGAGACATTCAAAAGGGCTGTTTATTACAGTGTTTATTTATCGGATAAAATATCACCGTTATTATTGGCCGGCCCGGAAACAGCGGGGGTGTCCAAATTCAGAGGCTGCTTCCACCTGAGGACCCGGCCTTCGCGGTCTAAAGAAAGCCGGGTAGTACCTCACGAGCTCCCTCGGTGGAGTGAAACTCTGCCGTCTGCTCCTTGCTATCTAAAATATAACCGGGCGCTGACGTAAACTCTCGACCGTCTCACACTTTCTTTAATTAGTTTTCTGTTTGACGTTTATTCAGCTGTGTGAAAACCCCGGAGGAACCCTCCCGAGGGATTAATAAAGTTAAATTTAATTTAATCTAATCTAATAACTTTAATCTCAGCCAAACCGATTTACTCACGAACAAATAAAACACTGAAAAAGCCAAACAATAACATTTTTAAGTTATCAAAGTGACTTATATATCATGTTTAACCCGAGTAGTGAAAGACCGCGGGGGTTTGAAGACGATGTGTCGATCGGCTCAGATATTTGAAGTTTACACAGCTACATTCTCACCTGAAAATATGTTAAAAGTTTTTTTTGCGACCCAGAAAGAGAAATAAGAGTAATATTAAAACTAAGTAGCTGCCGCCATTGTTGGAAACTGGAATTGGCTGGGCCGCGCTATGAATTCTGCAATATGGTTTTTCAATTTTGTTGTCCAGGTGGAAATTCGGGAGAATGGTGGCTCTGGGATTCTCCCGGAAAATGGGCAGGTTGTTCATCATGATAATTACCAATCCTGTGGAAGGGGCACTTTAAATTGATATTTCAGGAGACAATTTTCTCCTTGCGATAGAGACCACAACCTTAGGTAGACAAGGTCTGTACGTTGGCAATATATGGTGAAATGTTAATTCCCAAGAGTTCTTCCTAAAGTCCAATAAGCCTGGAAAAACTAGAACATCAACAAAAACGCTTGCACCAACGATCACTCAGACATAAGCTAAATCATTATACAGAATATTGTACGCAGCGCTTGTGGAGCTTGATGTTGAGGCGAACTGGAAGAGTGATGACAGGTGACAGGTGCTGCCTAGGGTGAGACAGACGGTCTCTCAATGGATGGAACTTTAGTGGCTGTCAGCCGCAGGCAAACCCAGCACCAACATAAATGTAACGTGTTTTCAAATAGCGCCTCAGAGGCATTATGCAACAGTTTTATTCTCGTATTGATTAAGAAATATTTACCACTGCGTGATTATGTGAGTTGATAAAAAATAAAGAACCCATCAAAAAGATATATCATGCATGTCCATCCATAATCCCTATAATGGTAGTCTGATCGCACAGTAGTAATGAGATACTAGATTATAAATTAATCAATAAATAAGGGTCTTGCTAGCTAGTTACCTTTGTGTGTTGCCTCTCCTACTTTATTGTACATGTGGCATCTGCAGTCCATAATGGTAAATGGCCTGTATTTATATAGCGCTTTTACTAGTCCCTAAGGACCCCAAAGCGCTTTACACATCCAGTCATCCACCCATTCACACACTGGTGATGGCAAGCTACATTGTAGCCACAGCCACCCTGGGGCGCACTGACAGAGGCGAGGCTGCCGGACACTGGCGCCACCGGGCCCTCTGACCACCACCAGTAGGCAACGGGTGAAGTGTCTTGCCCAAGGACACAACGACCGAGACTGTCCAAGCCGGGGCTCGAACCGGCAACCTTCCGATTACAAGGCGAACTCCCAACTCTTGAGCCACGATCGCCCCAGATGGCAGAGTAACGTCATACATGTCATATTACTGGTATCATAAAGAAATGTGCAAGATGCTCAGCCTGATTAACTTTTGTTACTACACCTGTATTATATAGACTGATTGTGGTTTGGTTAGATGACAGCAGATACGACCTGATATGGTTTTTCAACCATAGTGATGGAAAGCTTGGTATCCTTTCTTCATCTTCTTGTTCTTCTTTGTGCCACAGTGGGTCACCTGCCTCCATCTTGCCCTATCTCTACCATTCTTTCCTGTAACATCAACCCTCTGTGAATCTTTCCTGCAATCTACCTTCTTAACTCCTGCGTGGCAGCTCCATATTCAACATCCTTTGCAAAATATATCTACCACCACTCCCCTGCAGATGTCTGAACCTTTTCCCTTTAACTTTGTCTCCAAAATGTTAAAATCAATTCGATATTTGATAGGAAGCCAGTGTAAATTTTTCAGAACAGGGGTGATAGAGTCAAACTTTCTAGTGCCGGTCAAGAGACGTGCTGCGGCATTCTGGACCAGCTGCAGACGCTGCAGAAGAGAAGATTGTAGACCCAAGTAGAGTGAGTTACAATAGTCCAGTCTTGAAGTGATGAAAGCATGAATGAGTTTTTCCATATCTTTATGTGGTATGTAGGGTTTAGCCTTAGAGATTAGGCGTAGTTGATGAAAGCTGGTTTTTACCACAGTAGAGACCTGTTTATCTAGTTTGAAGGAACTATCCATGAAAACTCCAAGATTCCTGGCAGTATCAGTGAGGTAGTTAGCAACAGGCCCAAATGTGCCAGTCAATTGTCCCAGAGGCATATTTCGGTCAAAAACAATAATTTCTGTTTTCTTTCCATTTAAAGTAAGAAAGTTACGTGATAACCAGTCCTTGACATCACTCAGACAGTCAAACAGAGGATGTGGTGAGGATAGAGCATCCCCAGTCAGGTGGAGGTAGATTTGAATATCATCAGCATAGCAGTGAAAAGAGACATTGTGTTTTTCAAAAATGGAGCTCAAGGGCAACATATACAGAGAAAACAACACAGGATCCAGTACCGAGCCCTGGGGCACACCACAGCGGAGACGGGCAGAAGAAGAGGAATATTTTCCCATCGTGACGGAGAACGACCTCTCAGAAAAATATGATTTAAACCAAGATAAAACATTTCCTTTGAGGCCTACTACATGTTCCAATCTTGCCAAAAGGATATCATGATCAACCGTATCAAAGGCTGAGGTCAAATCCAATAGTACTAAGACTGCAGAGCGCCCAGAGTCAGCAATTAAGAGAAGGTCATTAAAGACTCTTAGTAGGGCAGTTTCGGTGCTGTGACGCGGTCTAAATCCAGACTGGAATTTATCACTTATACCGTTTCTCTCTAAATAAGTCTGTAGTTGCCGAAGCACTATTTTCTCTAAGACTTTTGACATAAAAGGAAGTTTAGAAATCGGCCTGTAATTAGCTAGAATGTCACGATCAAGGGTACTTTTCTTGATAACAGGTTGCACGACTGCATGTTTAAAGACAGTCGGAACATAGCCAGGTGACAGTGAGAAGTTCATTAGAAATAAAATACAAGACCCGATTGTATTCAATGCATCCTTAATGATACGAGAGGGAATAATGTCGTGCAAAGAATTTGAGCTTCTCAGATTATTAATTATTTCCTTTAAAGTCAAAAATGACACAGGTTCGAACTGTTGGAAAACCGTTGAACATTCAGAAGCTGGGGCTTGATTTACTACCAAAGAATGTGTGGCCCTTAGCAATGAGATTTTATCTATAAAATAATTTAGAAATTTTTCGCAGAGGGCCGGGGAGGCACCCATTGAAACATCCGAACAGGGATTAACCACTGAATTAAAGATTTTAAACAGGACTCGAGGATTATGGCTGTTATTCGCAATAATGTTAGATAAAAAAGAAGTTTTTGCCATTTTGGCAGCCTTCTGGAATTTAGACCGGCTCATATGCAGGATGTCAAGGGACACCTGAAGTTGATCTTTTTTTCCATCTTCTCTCAGCTCGACGACATTCACGTCTAAGAGCGAGGATGGATTGCTCCACTTCAATGGTACAGAAGTGGAGCAAGCAAGAAGAATGAGTTGAGTAAAGTTTTATCCGATTTTGTTTCGCTTAATGCGCCTTATAATCCGGTGTGCCTTATGTATGAAAACAGACCCGTTCATCAACAGTGCACCTTATGGTCTGAAAAACACGATATGTTGGATGACACTGTGTGGAGCTGTTAAAAGCCTGGCTCAACATGCAGTACTGCATGTACTGTTTAAGGAGCTGTAGCAGTACCCCGGGCAAACTTGCCAGGACGTTGCTGACATCACACATGTCTGACCCCTGAGATCATCATTATCAGTGTGAGAACAACACAGGGAGGAAACACCCTGAGACGTGACATCTGGTTTGGGAGGACAAATGTGTCATTCTTCCATGTTCCAGATGTGCCGGCTCTCCAAAGAGCCTCCATTTACTGTCAAGGATCAAACTACAACCCAGATAACCTCCTCAGCAGCAAACCCTGGAGCTGAGCCAGGAGACTGCATCTTGTGGTTTTCAACCCGGGCATCATATTAAATGTAAAGGACTCATAAACACTGGTGAAGCACAAAGCAGCAGGATATTACTCGCTCTGACGCGCTACGGGGTGGGACTGGTGATGGATAAATGGAGATGCTTGAAAAAGAGCTGGTGGGGGCCGACTACACACTTACTATTAGATCTTCACACTGAGCGAAACCCAGCAGCAGAGGCTAAGAGCAGCTTTTAGTTTCATGCTTTCACTCTGAAACTCTGTTAATACAAATTCATAATGTTTAAATGAGGAGACATTAACACACAACC